TGTAATCTGATCTTCCTAACTTTTACGGACGAGTCAACCTCTTGTATCTTAAGCAAATACTAGTGAAACTTTTTCAACTGGGCGTCACCCCATGGTTTTTTCCCTTTCTAGGATTTTCCACGTAAAAATCATGGTATTCTTTCATCTTCTGTTTGTGTGCTAAATATCTGTACAACTCTAAGACGAATACTTTCTAACTCTATTGTCGCGTATATTCAAGCCCTCAACAACGTCTATCTCAAAAAACCTATAAATAGAGCTTCATTCTACACATGACGGGAAGGAAGAAGGGTGGCATTGTACAACTATCATTGATTGTCATTGACAACCACCTTGGCCACTAATGATTACTGTTAGTAATAGCCCAATTATTTCTTCTAATATCTTATATTATTGTTGAGTTTCAATTGTTCACTTGTAGACACCATACATTTGTAATCGTACAAAAGAGAAATTAAAATTTCATTCTCAAATAGTTATCTTTTTTCTTCAGCTGTAAAGAAGAAATTATTATTTTATTTTTTAATATATAATGTATTTTTTATTTGGGTCAATATTTCACATAAAAATATTTGATGTTACTATTTTTATCTGAACTCACAAAATTTTTATATAACATGAAGACGTAAAACATATATTCTATCAACTTAAATTTTCTAACCTAATAAGAATATATATATTTTTATAATATGTTATAATATTTTTTGATAATAGAGAGATTTTATCTTCTTAAAAATATATAAAAAATCTCATATAAACATACAAAATTAAGTTGACACGATCTCAAAAAATAAAACATATAAATTTTAATATAAAAATATAATAAAAGAGTAAATAAGCATGTCTAATTTAAATAAAATGTGTGAGTTGTAAATTATAAATGATAATAATAAAAATATTATATTAGATATAAATTATGGAAAATAATTGTAAGAAAAAAAGTAATTATTATAAAACAACTATAAATCTATTAGATCATCTTTTAAGTTCACAGGCATTTACTACAGGTATCGGCCTTCAAGACTATGGGACAAAACATAACGTTTTTTATTTTTTTATTTTTAAAATGAAATTTTATTTCTATTTAAAACATTTTATCAATGTGCTTCTAGCCTTCTACAATGAATATCATTCCCCTTTTCTTAAAAAAAAAAAAATAAATTGCCAGCAAAACCTTGGAGTTTGGAATCTGCAGCTGGCATCAATCCCAATATATCACATGCCGTGTCCTTCGCAATTATGAACATTTATTGCAGCACACACTCCTCACATGACTGCGTGATAAATCATTTAAATATTAACAAAATTTAATATTTCTTCTCCAAATAAATTCGTTTAATTTTTTTTTTATTTTTTATAACGAGGATCTAATCCCATTTGTTTCTCTATCTTTCAAATTATTCTATGCGGAAGCCGAAAGTAGTTTACCGTCTGGAGTCCAATCTTAATGTGTCACATCAGTGGTATCGAGTATGGTACCGAACAATAACGAGTAGAGGGTGATGTGTCACATTCTGGTTGGTCTCCATATGGAGTTTGACGTCCGCACAGAATAATTCTACCTCAATATCAATGCCGGCCTTGCAAAGTATTTTTGTCGTTTATGTTCTTTACAATCTCTACATATTTCATCACTTCATCGAAAATTTTCTTTTCCCAAACCATAATTAAGCATGGTAGTTTATATCACATGTTCAGGGTTGAGCCTTGGGATTTGATGACGGGCTTGAAAAGCCATCTACAAATGCTTTGCGCCCAATCATTTAGGATAATACTTGCATCCACTGTCTTGTCTTGCCGCGATTGTCCGTACAAATTTAGTCGATGATTATTCCTCATACATCAATAACTCTATTTTCTTCATTATAAAAAGTATTTACATAAAAATTAAAATGAAAATGTAACATAACATAATATTATACCTTAGAATTATAGTTACTTATAAAAACTTTTAATGCTCAATCTGAACATAAAAGAAGAATGCATCAAAATTAAAGCTTAGAATATACAAAAGATCACTGATGAGTTAGAAATATTTTTATATTAGATAACTTTTGGTTATTATAAGAACACCTAAAGGGATTATAAAAAAATTAATCATCAAAATAAAAAAAAATAAAAAAAGATTTTTTTTTCCTTAAAATAAGAAAACCTGCAACAAATACTAGAGCTTGAAAAAAAAAACCTTCTTTCTGTAAAGCAGCAGAAGATAAGGCTTCACCTGCGTATATGAATCCTTCAATACGAGAAGGAAATCTTTTGTTTGGAAGTGTGGCTGATATATTTCTCTCAAGAATTCAATTATGCCGAGACCCTGATCCCAGTATCCCACTGAATGAAGAAAATTTTCGGGTTATTTGCATTCGTGCCCCTGATTATTTATTATTTATTTATGATACATTAACATACATGAATTAAATATAACAACAAAAATTTAATATATTTATCTGTGATATATAAAAATTATTAAGAATAAAGCTCAATAATTTTATTACATTTTTAATATTTAGGCAATATTATTAAAAAAATGATTCATCCTTAATTGTCCGAATTATATTTTTATGAGCTCTAAAAAAAGTTTTTTTTTCACTATATTTTCACTATTTTCAAAAATAAAATTGCATTAAGAAGTTGATTCTATCAAAATTTTAAAAAGTTACTTTTTTTCTACAGCAAATTTACAAAGCAGCAGTAAATTTGTTCCAAACAAAGCTTAAGTTTCCGTTTATGATGATTTTTTTTTCAGCTTTTTAAAATAACTTTTTAGTTCAAAAATTATTTGAACTAGTAATTTTTTTATATAGAAAATTACTTTAGAAAACAATAAAAAAGTTGTCCCAAACGAAGCCTAAATCTTACGAAAGCTAACATGAATTTTGTTCTTGCAATGCAAATAGATCAAATAATTCAAAAAATAGTATGATAAGAAAAACTGTTTAGAAAAAGAGATTATTGCTATAAAATAATCTTATATCTCATGCACCAAATAACAAAGAGAGAACAAAAAAGTAAAATATTCACTGTAGCAGTCATAAGTATGGATCTCCATATGAGAGTCCAGCTGAGATAAAACGTCCAAGCAAGCTATTAATTTAAATATTAGGATTTAAGGCCTGGATTTGAAATGGTTGGATAATGTCAAGTTCTAATAATGGAGCATTTATTAGGTCTTACAAATTATTGTGTTGATCTGAATGGTGAAACTTTAGGATGAGTTTTATTTCTACAGTAAATAAAAATATTTTTAATATATTATCAAATACATATTTTGATGTAGTTTTAAGATATCAAAAGCACTATATATATATATACTCTAATATTATCTTTCAGTGGAGCTACTCTAACCTTTTCACGTATATGCACATTTCGTATCATATTTTTAAGAGTAAAGTAACACATGTATCCGCATCTCTGCAATCGGTTAATATTTTATTTACTATTTTTTGATTATTTAAATAACTAAAAATAAAATGTCAAAGGAAGTAGTAAATACTACCCTCTTGTTCACCAAACTTTTAATAGGCGTAATGCATAAAATTATAAAATAATTATTTTATAATCTATTTTTAATGGCTGGACAAAATCAGTAGGTCGTTGTCTTTAAGTACTTTGCATCGGCCCAATGCATATTTAGAAACCTTAAAAGATACGACATGTTTACCCACCCATCTAATTAATTAAAGCTTAACCCTACAGTTTAAATTAATGATGGATAAAAGGATATATATATATATATTAAAAGTTGCCTGCTTTTCTTCGAAGGAAGAATGATAAATACAATTTTCCTATCAAGTAATATTGGTTACTTTGCCGCTCCTGACATGGAGCAAGCTCAATAAGGCTTTATTTGGGACGGCTTTTAAGTTTTAAAAAGTTTTTTTGCTGGTTTAAAAAAAAAATTACTAGAAGATTACTTTAAAAATAGTAAAAAAAAAATCTCGAATGAAACCTAAGTCACATAAGTTATTCAAACTTAAATTCGCTCCTGGTTGAAATGTATTATTTGAACTACGATTTTAACAAATTTAAAAGTTAAACTGAACGTCTCGACGGGAGCTACTAATTTTCGAAAGAGCCGAGTTAGAGCTCAATAAACGAGCTTGAATCAACCTCAAACTTAGCAAGAGTTAAACATACTTTTCTGACTATAGTCCATCCAACCTCTATTGCCCGACAACAGCATGATCCTTCCGACCTTTGTCACCCAACTACAATCCCTCCAACGCCTAACTATGATCCATCCGACCAAAGTTGCCTGCAGACTACAATCCTCCCCCCCCAATCACCGCCGCATGACTAAAATCTCTTCAATCTCAATTGTCCGACTAAAATCCTTCCAACCACAATTGCTCATCAATTACAAACTCTTCAACCACCATCGTATGACTACAACACTATCAACCTTTGTCACACAAATATAACCTCTTCAACCTCCATTGTCCGACTATGATTTCTCCGACCACAATCATCTACCAACTACGTCAGTTGCCCGACTACATTCCCTTCAACCTCCTTCACCTATTGCCTATAACTCCTCCGACTTTCATCGTCTGTTAGTTGTACTATCCCTCCAACCTCCATAACCCGACTACAATCCCTCCCACCTCCATTGCCCCCATTACTATCCCTCCAATTTTCATCACCCACAACTATGATTCCACCAACCAAATGAACATACCAATGTTCTCTTTAGAACAACTCTCATGTCATTAAATTTTTCAACTTCAAACATGTAATATACTCTATATAATATATATTTGCTATATTGAATCAATATATCCCCCCACGAAGAGGCATCATTAATAAAACCCAACAAACACTAGTGAAATCATTTCAATTGGATTAGGCTCCGTGATTTTGTCCCTTTTCAAGATTTTTTGCATAAAAATCTCTCTTATGACTTGCATCACTCTTTCTTATCTATTATGTGATAGATCTTCATACAAAACTATAACGTTAAACTCTATCTCTTTCTACCAGTGTGATTGTTCTGGTGCAAGTCACAACAAACACAATTAGCTTTTGGATTAAAGCAAGTCAGAAATATAAGATCAAAAATAACAAGCAGCAAAGATGTAAGGATCATGAATTGCCATCTGTCTGCTGCATCAGCAAAATAACACTACTTAGGGACATGAAATTAGAGGATCCAAAAAGCACCGGAAACAATTACATTAAGCGGACAAGCATATTAACAGCATCTTTGCAGAGATTTTTTAACTATTTCCTGCATCACTAGCCCCCTTTCCTGCTTCTTCCTCGAGCTTTTTTGTCCAGTACTCCTCAAGAGGGGGTCCAAAAATAGCTTTGCCAGAAACCACTCCTATCCTACAATAAGCAAATATCACATAACATAGAGAATGAGTCATCTTACGAATATTTCACAGGAACTTTTATTCTATCCAGTGAACGTACGCAGAGGAAGGTTCGGTTTTAGGCAAAAAGTGCATGTACCGAGTTTTTCGCGCCTGTACCGAGTTTTTTGAAAAAACTCGGTTTTCGCCTAAAACCGAACCTTACTCTGCGTACGTTTACTGGATAAAATAAAAGTTCATTTCACAGACACCAATCCTCCAAAGTAGAAATTTAAGAAGCTGAATTTTGCAAAAGATTAGAAGATGCCTTCCTTTTATGTCCTGAGAGTCACCAAAACTCAAACCCTTCGATCAGATTAAAATGTCTAAAGCAAGTCGCTCTATTTTCTTTCTATCACAAGAACTAATTTGATGCACATAAACAGAAAGAAAGCTACAAGCCAAATGCATATTGAAATTGCTAAGAATATGCATAATGCAGCATTGGTTGTTATTAGAAGAAATTTTTAAATGACCAAATAGCTTTTAATTAGAATGAAGTAGGATGTCATGAAGTCTAACATTTTATAATGAAAATTTAGAATCAGTTATGCAAAATCATACACACAATGTCAGATTTCTTTTAATTTAGATGAAGAGTTCATCTACTTTGATGAAAACTAATAAGAACATTCACCCAAATTTATTAAAAAATAAAAATAAAAATTTATAAAATTTAATTGTAAGCATTACTGAAGACAAAAAGCATAATGAAAGAAATAATCAAAGCATTAATCTAAATCCCATGTCGATAAAAGGAGATGGCTTTCTCCAAAAATTTGTCAATCAACATTTACAAAAGAAGAATTTAAATCCAAAACGCAAAATGATTTCAAGGAAAGACATTTTATCAAATAAGTATGAAATTTCCATGCCTCCTGATACTTCATTTATATTCACCAAATCAATGAAATTGAAATTGTGCCAGCCCAAAATATGGAATTAGTACTTTGTAAGGAAACCTAATTAGTAATCCAAACAGATACATGCGACAGCTACAAATCATGATTTTACTATACAAAGCAATCACAAGTCACACTAGAAGAGGTCACAACAATTTATTGTCACAAGCTAGCATATGCCAAAGGAAAAGAAGTTCTACATCAACCTTTCTAGCTTGGAAAAATTCAGCTTTTGATGAAATGCTCCATTAGAAAAATGACCGATTCATCACTTGCAAACCCCTCTTTTCACTTTATAAAATATCATTGGTAGCATCCTCAATAATGAAAATAATAGCTTCAATAATAATATTTAAGATTGAGATTTGTCTCTTTATGATAATGAACTAAATAAATCTGTAGATGATATATACAACAACATCAAGTCTAGGAACAGGCAGAAAATATATAGAGTGCATGCTAAAAAATTATCTGTATCCAAAGACAAATCGTAGATCAAGATCAATAAACACGACAAAATTAGTATAGTCATTAAATTACATGCTAAAAATGTGCAAAACACAAACTAAAATTACAAACTAATGTCAAATATAATCACATAAGAACTCACACAAACATAGAGGGAATAATATTATCACATGAAATTCTATTGGAACCACAAATCATAGATCCAATCATATATCTCCTAGGAGAAATCATCCAAGAGATGAAACATTGACAATAGAAGCAATATGTCAGTGCCCAATATGACAAGAAATAATTCTTCCAACTGCCACAACTATTGAATTGGCGATGGAGATCCAAATCTAAATTTCAACTCTTTCTCTCTCTCTCTCTAGTTTGGGTTGCTAAGAGGAGATTTATAAATACCATAGAGTGACATTTTGACAATTAACTCAAAAAAATTGTCCAAGAGTTGAAATCCATAAGTAACTAACTCCCGAAACAATACAGTAGTCATAAAATAATGAATAAACGTGCAAAATATACTACAAAGAAGCATGTACACCCTGGAAAAAAAATCTTTCACAAGTTGAAAAATAGACTTAAAAAAAAATGCAATCCTATAAGCATTGGCCAAACGTATAATACCACAATTCAAAATATCATATAATAGTTGCTCGTCAAATCGTATGAATGACCCATGATCACATACAATCTTCCATATAGCAAAACACTTAGATTTGCATTTGAGTCACTCTTAATAAGCATCAAAATATTAAAATATGGAATCATGTAAAAATCAATTTCACCGAAAAATCAATGCGCATAGACAAACACTTAGTTCAAGTTAGGCAATCCATAGATCATTGCACAGGCATGCTATATCTCTGTTTGAATTAACATAAATTAATATTTGAATGCCTGCGCAATAACATATATTTTGTCCTCAACAATACAAATCAAATCAAACTCTTGAATTCATGCTACATGGTTTCAAACTTGCTCCATAAGAGCTCAACATCCATTACATTTCTAAATGATAATGATCTTACACTTATGCCAACTAAAAATCTGCTCTATGATCCCTAGTTATTCTTTATCAGCCACACCCTATCACTGAAGATGTCCTATCTAAAGCATACAATTCTATTTAGAGGATAACTATCACTAAAGGGAACAAATTCACCATGATAACTCGCTGATTAATACTTCCAATAATACATTAATATTTGCATTAAACTAGCAATTTGAACAAATGCAACTTCAAGATCAATTTCATTTTATTCTCCCCACCATGAAAATAAGTTTATAACTAATTGGCATCGCATTACTAGCGCAATTCCCTAAGAGCAGAGCATTCAATCCATCAATGCAACTATCTTATCATTGTTGAATTCCAAGCTTATCATTATTAGATTTACCTAATTCATCAGGCTTTATGTCCTCGTTCATGGTCGCCTCAATGGAAAAATAAAAACAATGCACTGAAATCCCATAACATTAATAGATGAACCAATCAATATATTTACTTTGTTACAATTTATAAAATTCAAATCATATTATAAAACTCCACGTTTTACAATAAAACATTTAAAAACATCTCATGGAATACAACATTATTTAAATTATGAACATTCACATTTCAAACTCTCATTTAGGTGACAAACTATAGTCAAATAACATCAACGAATAAATTCAAAAAATCCGCAAACCCAAATTTATTCGAAGGACAATGCAACGACAATTCACAAATCTACATTAGGGGTGCCAAAATGAGTTTTCAAGTCGGGTTCAGGTCCAACCCGAAATTGACATCCATTCAACCCCCCTGACCTGAACCCGTCCCGATTTGCAAAACAGGTTTGATTCCTAAACTAGAACCCAACCCGGCTCTAATCAGGGACGACTTGACCCGGGATGCCGACCCGCAAGGCAATGAGGTGTGCGCTTGCAAGCGAGTGCGAGTGCAAGCACAGGTGCGGTAGCAGGCAAGGGGTGGGAAGGGGTGCTATCACGGGAGCGTTGCAGGCGAGAGCGCAAACACTATGGGCGCGAGCGCGGGGATCTGGGACTATTACGTGCACGAGATTCGGGGGATCCAGATCATTTCATGTTGATTTTGAGTTTCTGGGTCAACCCGAACCCAACCCGATTTTAGGATCGGGTCAGAAAATCAAACTCAAACCAGACCCGTCTGTCAACGGATTGACTTGAACCCGTAATTTTCCTGGTTGGATTTTAGGTCAAGAAAAATATTAATACCCCTTATATACACCATGATGATGCAGAATTAATATCAACTCTTAAAGTGAACTTTTAGATAAATTCATCATCTAATTCCACCGGAAATATGTTGAACAAGCATATACAATTTAGTATACTAATCTATTGAATTAAAAAACCCTATATATATATATATATATCAAAATAAACAATAGGCTGAAATCCATATACCACATTCCACCAGTTGATTATTCACATAATCACTTATCTACACGTTGATAATTTACTCATAAATGTTATTGTAAATGACAAACCAATTATTTAGCTATTGGGACCACTACAATTTCAATCATCAATCACATATGAATGAATTATATCCCTTAAAGATGGTGATATTCTTTTAAAAATCTTCCACCAACCCTAATGTGAGTTGTCCGATAATAACCAACATTCACACTATCTTGATCCAATATATCCATCCACACCTACGTTCTATATTTCAAATACAACTATTTAATTCGGCGTTTTCTAAAAGTTTAAATAAAGTAAACTTAAATTTCAACATACATTGAAATACATAACATAAACAACGAGTTCAATTATTTTAAGATATCAACTAAAGTATCCAATGAAATCATACATACTGTAACAGAAAATATCAACGAAAAAGCCAGCTCAAGCAATAACGCAAATATAACTTTGCATGCCATTTCTTTAAGTGGGGCCACTATTTCCATTGATTGAACAACACTATACAATTTCCTCGATAATATCTTGTCCCTAAGCTCCATTGGACAATTTTACACCTTGTGTCGAACTTATTCACAGTCGAAACACTGAACAATTAAAAAGTATCATTTCCTCAAAATTTTTTTTAGATAACGCCTGCAAAGTATTCTAGTCTTTAATACTTTATTCCTTCCCTTTTGGAACTTCGTGTGTACTAACATTTCTCTTTCCCACAACTGTTTTCATTATCCTCTGAATTTACACTTTTTTCAAACTTAACTACAAGAAAATCCACTCATTTACACTGATATGTTTGTTATCTGCATCATTAATATATTTATACTGATCAAATCCAAAGGAAGCAAACTACGCAAACTATAAAAGAAATGTGTATAAAATTTTGAAGTCAAGAACACAGGAAAAATCATCCAGAAGAGAAAAATGATAACTCCAGAAAACGCACCCTCAAGTGTACGAGATAGTGATTGGCAACTTTGCACTAATAAATATAAATGATCAACAGTAAAGATGCATGATGGGATGCACTAATAAATATAACTCAACATAAATTGTGAATGGCAACTTTGCTACCGAACATGATCAAGAACCTACTTCTACGTTGCCACTGCAAAGGGCTCCCAAAAGAATATTCAAAGCACCCAAAAAAAATCTAAGGTTTTTTAATCTTGAAAGTGCAATAAGAAATTCCTGATAAAAATCACCATCAAAAGTTTTCAATTGTTTGAGGCTGCCTAATAAAATGGAATCACTTATTAAAAAAGTATACTTACCTTTCATCGGCCATGGTTAAGGAGTGTGAAGGCCATGCCTTGGTGAAAGCGCTCTTGTATGAGGGAGATTTTGATTGAGCTAGCTTGTGGAGAATTGACTAAATGGTGGTTTGCCGATTTTCCCCTTGAAGGATGGTGCTACTTGATTTGTCTCCAAAAAAAGTCACTTAATCAACAAGAATCTCGAAATAATATTTGAATTACAATTTTAAGAATTAAATTCAAGATCATTTAAACTCCAATTTTAGTTAATTTATAGTCGAACTAAATGTCTCAACAAGATGAACCTATCTATACCACAAATGATTTGATCCAACTCCAAATGACAGGAAATCAAGCACTTGAAGCATATTTGAGAAACTTTTGAATATTAGCTAAAGGACCTAACATTCTACAAATTGGGCATGCTTAAACTCAAATAAAGTAGCTCGAAGAGTAGAATCAAATGAGCCTAAAATTATTCGATTCTAACATCATGAAGGCACTACAAATTCTAGATAAATAATCTATGATAAAAAAAGATTAACATAGAAGGTTTGATGAAGTATATATTAGATTCTAATCTAATTTATCATAATGATAATCTAAAAAAAGTTATAAATAAGGCCTCATTTTCTTCAAAAAGAGAGGTTCGAGAGCTTAAAAATGTACATACTTTATAACATTTTTCCCGCGATCACTGTCAATAATCACCATAAGCAATTGTCACTGCAGGAAAACCTGCCATTATCGTCGAACTTTCGGCGAACATGTATGCGGCGATGGCGTAAACATCGGATTATACGTCGGTAACTTTACTGCGGAATTACCGGCATAAATTCCTCCGTGACGGTGGCGGCGTATATTCCGTCGGTTTTTTTGCTGGTATATTTTGAATTCTTGAGCAATTTCCACCAGAAATTACCGGCGGAATCACCGACGTAAATTCCACCGGTCTACTTAAACTAAATGAAAATTTTCCTACGTATTATCTGCCGAAACATCCGATGGAAAGAGACTTATTTCAAAGGTTTTTTTTTGTTTATGCTACAGGTTTCCTGCGGATATTCCATAGGAAAAGCCGCCAGCAATACGATACAACGAAAATTGATTGGTATTTCCAGCGGATAAATCGCTAGTCCTATCCGTCGATAGTAGTGCTGCGGATCATGGAGGTGGATTATATGCCGGTACTTCCAACACAACTTTTTCGCTGAAAATATCGGCGGATTAAACGCTGGAATCCATCAAGGAAAGTTGACGTATAAACATAATTTTTTTCGTCAGAAAACGTTTCCAAAAATTTTCCTGATGGAAATGTTTCGCCAGTTTAGATTTTCCAATGCGCGAATTATCGTCGAATGGATTTTCACCGGTAATTCGCCATAAAATGCAAATTTCTGGCGGATTTTCATTGTTACCGTTGGATTTTGTCCACCGGTAACAAGCCATTTTCCTGTAGTGTGTCTCTATCATCACCAACTACTGTTAAGTAACCATTTTCTCTTGAATATCAGCATATAACCCTGCTATTGGACATTGATTGTCTGCTTGTAAACAACTAATTTTCTCAATTCCAACAATAAGAATCAAACAAAGGTTCATAACTGTGTTTAGTATAGTCTCATCTTCTTCAATTGTGGAGAATGTAGGATTTTTGCATCTTTCATTATATGTTAGATTATTGTAACTAGTCCAATCCCTATGATTTTTCATTTTCTTATATTTTTCGCATTAAAAATTCTAGCCACACAACTTTTATCTATAGGTGCTGAATTTTTATACAAAGCTATGATATTAAATACATACTTTATCACGTAAATTTTTTAGCACATAATACTACAAAATACCATAATATTTCATATAGAGGATAAAATTAAAGTTTAATTCGGGCAAAAAGCGAAGAAGGAATTAACAACAATAAGGTAAGGCATAATATGGATGAAGCAAAAAAATGGAGATGTTGGAGATAACACAATCAAAGGTTTTGTAAAAAGATTTCTTGAAGGTTAATACAGCCCTAAACACTAAGTTGAAAAGATTTTGCAAGGCAAAACCCAAATATTTGGACAAACCTAAAATGGCATAGCCGAAAATGTTTCAACACCAAATAAGTGTAAATTCATCAATTTTTTAGCTTCAAATTGTTTCTTCAATTCAAAGTAAAACAAAGAAAATATAAGCGGATACTTCATAGAGAACAAATATGAAATAGAATAAACTCTCCTGATAAAGATCAAAGCACAAGAAAACAATCATCCCATTTTGACCATTTTATTAGCATCATCATTGTTAACGGTTTGGAGTCCTAAATAAAACTATTATCAGACTTTATTATCTATATGCTTAAACCTTGCATGATTAAATGTTACTATTAAGCCTACTACAAAACTAGAGGTACTACTTGCAAATATAAACTCAATAGCAGAATTACGCCTGGCTTGGACATATAGAAACCTTATACCCAGTATTTTGTAAGTCAACAAACTCCAAAACTCCAGAAAGCCCCTTCACGCAGCTTTGCTGTTAAAACATGTCAAAGTTTCAAGAGAACTATTCTATTGCATATCTGAAGTAAAACGCTTTCAAGCATTTTTTCAAACAGTTGGCATGCATTTGATGAAATAAAGTGATTTTGGCAAGTTAAGATGTTGGACGCTTGTCTACTAAAAAATTGGTTGCCGAACACGAGCTGTGGTGTTTCAGATCAAATAATTCATACGAAATTAACAGAGAAAGCGATTGCAACGGAAGAAGAAAAGGTAAGAGCAAAACCTTTATTTCCATAAGATCAGTATTATATAATAACAATGTTCTCTAATTCGTAATAGTCAATCATTCGTGCCATAAACATCAACATGAATGCAAACATCGCAAAAGATAAATAATTAGCCAAAGAATATAGACTATTAATCGTATTGCAGAGCAGATAACACAAAAAGCACCACTATGGAAGAATGGATCTCGCCGATTACCCTAAATCAATAAACCTAAATACCACCTATAGCAGCAGCATGCATAGCAAAGAAGAAAGGGGAGAGTTCGATAGATATAAAGATATCGAAAGAGATGGATGGGCAAAATGTGTGTGGTGAGAAAGAGAGAGAGTTTAGCTGACACGTAAACTTACACAACAGCTCCTACCACCATGGGAAGAGAAAGAAATCTTCCCCTCCGAAACATCCTCTCCACTTACAATCTGGAAGCGCTGGGTATCAAGTGCGGCTCTCCACAGTCGCCTCGATGAAAATTATGAGTTTTAAAAGAAACCAAGTACATCAATGAAGTATTCCAAATGGACGATGAAGCTAATTCCCGAAAAAAACCCTAATAATTTCACGGCCGGGATTAATCCATCAAGAATAGGAAAACAACTTACTTACCTGAAAGCACCTCCTTTTTATCTTCTCCCTCATTATCTTCACCACCAAACCCTCCGCCCATCTCACAAATTCGATCCCAAACTCTCTCTGGCACCGGGACCACCGAAAGACGCGGCTGCCGTAAGAGTGCGAAGTCCTTCATCATCTCTGCCTCAGCCCTGATATCCCTCAAATCCACGGCCCGCCCGATCTCCGCTACCGTCCTTACATCAACCACCCCTTCCCAGTCATCGCCGCGATCATCAGTAGTGGAATACCAAGTCCTGACAACCTCGACCACGCCAATGACTCGGCGTTCGCGTCCGGAATGGTAGAAGAAGCAATGATCACCGCATTTCATAGACTTGAGGTTCTTCTGCGCTTGGCGATTCCGTACGCCGTCCCACCGGGAGACGCCGCCGTCCGAGCGAAGCTGGTCGTCCCACGACCACTCCGCCGGCTCCGTCTTGAGAAGCCAGTAGCTGCGTTTCCCATCGCTTCTAACGGGCTCCTTTTTGAGATTTCTTGGCATTGGATCAAGATTCTTCAAGGGATGCAGGAGGGAAGAGGAGGGGACGGGATTATGGCGGGAAACCGAGGCCTGCCAGCCGGAAACAGCTACCGCTTTGATCTAGGAACAAGTAATGGGCTTTTACAAGGGAGGAAATTAGCAAGCGGCCCAAATTCTGAGCATCCCATTACATGTTTCAGTATTAACAAAGTAATGCTATACTCTTCTGAAAAAATAATTTCTAAAAAAAAAATTATGTAAATATGTGGATCAAAATACAAGTTTGGATTTTATATTTTTTATGAATATTTCATGACTTAATGTAGAGTTAATCAATTTTAATAATATTTGGAATCTATTTAAGACTATAACTTTTTATAAATAAGATTATTAAACTTATCTGAAGAAATTTTTTTTAAAAAAAAGCTATTATAGAAAATAACTTTCTAACACAAAAAGTTCTAAAAGTGATGGAAAAAGTATTGGCAAAACAAAAATAATAATTACAGTTTGAAAATCAAAGCAACAAAAAAAAAATTAAATGGGTTTTCGGGTTGACCCGGTAACCCGCCGGGTCAACCCGACCCGACCCGTTTTATTAAACGGGTTGAATCTGCAAACCCGGACCCGACCCGTTTATCAAACGGGTCGGGTCCAACCCGGATTTTCCGGGTCGGGTCCGGATCGGGTTGTCGTGTCGTGTCAAATATTGACACCCCTAATCTCAACTTCCATTTTTTAAAAATAATAATAGTAAAGACTAAAGAGTTCTCGTCTGCATTATGAAAAGACATTCTAACCTTCTTTTTTTATTACTTTTTTAAAGATAAAAGTCTAAGTGAATAGAGCGGTGATTATGTAAGAGTTTTATCTATCTATTAAGAACAACTAACAAATTGCATTTTAGTACAACATTATTAAAAGTTACTCTGTTAAAAATAAGGGAAATTTACATGCATACCACTTTATAACATCTTATTTACATATTTAACATCTAAAATTTTAATATTACATGCATACCACCCAATATTATTTTAATATCAAACATACCACTTATATTTCTTTCCTACCACTCATATATTTCATTTCTACCACTCCTATTTGATATGAAAATGAATTATGGGTTGTATGTATGTAATATTAAAATTTTAGATGTTAAATATGTAAATAGAATAGTATTAGGTGAAATGTATGTAAATCTCCCTAAAAATAAAAGTTGAAAGATAAATTGATTTCTTATGACAGAACTTTTGCCAGCAATTTTATTGGTGGAAATTTCATTATTTGCATTTTGAGATTATCGATGAAATTATGTTTATAGAGTTTAAATAATATTATACTACTTAAGCTTTGTTTGAGATTTTTTTTTTTCTACTTTTTAAAACGGCTTTCTCGTTGGGGACGACTTTCTTGCTGCTTTCTACCGTAGCTTTTAAGTTCACAATTTTGCTAGTTCAACTAAATTTTGAACTAAAAAATTGATTTAGAAAAAATTAAGAAAGTCATCTCAAGCGAAGCACGAAGCTTAGTGCGGGACACGTTTTTTGTTACTTCTTAAAGTAGCTTTTTGATACAAAAATTGAAAATTTTATATTAGAAAACTACCTTAAGAAACGACAAGAAAGTCGTCCCAAACGAAACCTTAGACGACTTTCTTATAGCTTATGGAAGCAATTTTCTAGCACAAAAAATTATGAAGCTATAAAAAAATCGTCCCAAACGAAGCCTTAGTCGCCCCTCCACTATGTATCTTCTCTCTCATTTGATTTATTGTATCTCAGGTGCTAGCAATAGTGGCAAATAAGATTGATTGCTCTGGTATAGCTCGAAAGAGTTTTATAAGATATGCAAGAATCTCAAGGCAATCATTGAATTAAAAACTTTCTACATTAAATTTAGAACCATATGAACGTTGATTTCAACAAATTTATAGTCAAAATGAATATTTCAACAAGATGAGCCTATAGACACTACAAATGATCCGATCCGACTCCAAAATGAGCTCAAATCTAACACTTGAATCGTATTTGAAAAATTACGAACATTAATTGATATATCAAATAGCATCCAATTATAGCATGCTTATAGATTAATCAAGCAGCTTGACAAGATGAATCTAACGAGCCCAAGATCACTCGATTCTGACATCATTAAAGTAGTTAAATGTTTGATAAACGATCTGCGATCAAGGAAATCAATATGGATCATATAATAAAATGTTTTGGATTTTTACCAAATTTATCAAAAATGCTCATTTTATCATCTTAAAAAGCCTATAAATAAGATTTCATTCTCCATAAACTATAAGGAGAAAGCTCCAAAAATTAATGAGCTATCTTACATTTTTAAGTTATCACAGTTGACGACTATTACTAGTAATCATTTTCAGCGTCTCTAGATTCATGCCAAAATATACCCATGTTATTATGTTTTTAACTTACAACCATGAACATTGGATTTTTTGGAGTTCCTGTAAGGAAACTTTGATGTTGTTCTTAATTATAATTAATCTCATCTTCTTCAATTGTGAGGAAGTGCAGATTATTGTCTCATGTTTTAAAGTTATTAATTGTTACAACTTAGTCATGCCATGTGATTTTTTTCCTTTCCTGAATTTCCACAAAAAAAAAATGATCTTATATCTTATATTTTATATCTATGTGTGCTGAATTTATGTCTAAAGCTAAGTATAAACACACACTCAACTGATACAAATTTTCTAGCATATAACAATTTGATGCCATCTATGAGAAATATGATTGATACATCATCAAAAAATCATCTTGATCGGCACGAATCTTGATGCAAAATGAGTTGGAAACTTCCGAAATTAAAATTGGGACCATTTGAACTCCGATTTCAGCAAACTTATAGTCAAATTGAGTGTCTCGAGAATATGAACTCAACGACACCAAATTCAACCCAATCCGAGCCCATACGGGTCCAAATCAAGGATTAGAAGCACTGTTGGAAGATTCAAACCTCAATTTGGATTACCAAACGATTTCCAAACAAAACATGCTTATAATCGAATCGATTGGCTCGACGAGACGAATCGAACGAGCCCAAGATCACCGAATTCCGACAACACTAAGACATTTAAATGTCCATCAAACGGTTCATGATCAAGGGATTCAACACGGGCCGTCTATCCAATCACTCCCCCATTTACCCTTGATGTCTCATCTATTTATAGGTCATGCTACTCCAAAAATCTATAAATAGACCCCACATTTCTCTTGAAAATGGACCACAAGCTTATGGATTCAAAGAGAGAGATTTAAGATCACTCTTGCCTCCTTGCTCCTCCTCGACCACCACCTGAGTTTCGCCGGATCACCGCCTTACGTCATTGCTCCGCTGCACCACCACTTGAGGCCCTCACCTTCACCGGACCACCACTCAAGGCCCTCACTTTCGCCGGACCACCACTTGAGACCCTCACCCTCGTCGGACCACCACCTGAGGCCCTCACCTTCGCCAGACCACCACTTGAGGCCCTCACCCTCGTCGGACGACCGCCTGAGGCCCTCAACCTCGTCGGACCACCACTTGAGGTCCTCACCTTTGTCGGACCACCACTTGAAGCCCTCACCCTCCCTGGACCACCACTTGAGGTCCTCACCTTCGGTAGACCACCACTTGAAGCCCTCACCTTTGCTGGACCACCACTTGAGGCCCTCACTCTCGTCGGACAACCACTAGAGGCCCTCACCCTCGCCAGACCACCACTTGAGGTCCTCACCTTTACTAGACCACCACCTAAGGGTCTGAACTCCGCCGGACCATCGCTTGAGGCTCTGAACTCCGCCAGACCATCAACTGACACTAGAGTTCCGCCAAGTCACCACCGATCTACTAACTGACGGCCTAACTTCCAAGTGATGCCAGATTTAACACTACACTTCAACCATACAATTGACATTTATAATTTGATCGCCCTCAAGGACGAGTTAGCCCACTGTCTCAACTCAAATTTTATTGAAATATTTTTAATTGGGCTAGGCCCCGTGATTTTCCCCTTTCAAGGGTTTTCCACATAAAAAATCTTGTGTGAGCTGGATATATGTGCAACGCTAAGACATAGAATTACAACTCTATCTCTACGTATATTCTAGCCCGCAAAATCCAGAAAAATTAAATATAGGTATTGAAGGCCCCATAAGCCTCTTGAGGAATGTATGTGTATAATGGAAGAACTCCAATTTCCAATCTTAAAACTCTCAGAGGAAGCTGGACAACAAAGAATAGCATCACAACATGCACGAGTTATCCATCCATGAAATCAACGGCACTTTAAGAATGATGCCACTAATGCAATACCTCCTTATGTTGCATCATTCTCTCTACGTCAACCTCATCAAGTCACTTAGATAATGCAAGTTCAACACATCATTTCCTTGTTGTTCGACTAGCCCATTATCCTCCAATGGTCGTTAATGATTTAAATCAACATCATCTTGTTAACACCTCTCATGATGTTATAAAAGATGTGTTATAGCATCTTATTTAAGAGGAATTTCCTTTGATGGAAAGAAATCAACTTACTCCTCACTTCAAATATTTTTGGTCGCTATTTGCTTTAGCGTCCAAATTAACATTTTTAGCGACCAATTTTGTTGGTCGCTAATTACCTATTTTCTTGTAGTGTGTATATTTAACATGCCTTTAATGAAAATCTTTGTAAGATCTTCCCTATAACATATAAGGAACAAACCGGCCCATACATGATTCTATTTTCTTTTGTTTAGAAATATTCATAATTTTGCTGATTTAGTAAGACTTTTTTTTTCTAACAATTTAGTAACAACCGAAGAATCATCAATGACTCATTCAGCCTTTACAAGATTCATCAAAATATAGGAGAGAGCTTTAAAGAGTATTTTTAACTATTTTCTTATAAAGTACACTAAATAATATGAGTGAGTCAAGAGTTATTAGATGTATTTTTCTTGGAGGTATTCACCCTTCATATTTCTACTCTTCACTGATGTGAAAAATTGTTCGCTCCTATACTGATTTCATTCATCATGGTAAAAAAGTCAAATAATTGCTGATGAGATCACCAACACATTGAAATTAATTTGAGCAATCTTCCTCTAGAAACTCACAAGAATTTAATTGGCCTCTCCAACAAAGAAAACATGAGCAATCAAAAGATCATATGAACCAAATTCTA